ATTTTTTTAAATAATGTTTGGAGCTCATGATTATTCTTACCCATTCAAATAACCTACTAATCGAAGAAAAATTATATCAGGTAGAGATGGAATCAAATTGAGTAAAAACTTGTTATTTATTCTTTTATCAAGAGTTAAATACTTATTTCCTTACCACATAATAGTTCAAATATATTTCATTTATTTTTAGTTAATTTGGTGATGTAACTAAAAAACATAATTAAAAATGGGATCAAAAAAGCTAAAATTTCCAACATATGTTGTTTTTATTGGTACTTAGAGCTTTTATTGAAAAGCTTTACAATTCATTTATTTGGATGTTACTTGTAACTTGTAAATATTGAAACGATAAACTGTGTAACTAAATTGGATGTAGCTCAGTCAGCCAAGAAAAAGAAGAACACACCAAGGAAATAATCGCAACTGAGGTCGGTGAAGCATACTAACGTCTGATAAATGCTTATTAACGATTCCTTAAACGAAATTGAAGATATCGAGAAGAAAAAATAAGTCGACTATAAAAGGTGAAAGCAAGAAAATGAAACTGAGCTATCACGGGCATTAATCAATAACTAACATCAAATGACTGTCCAAATGCCCGCTTCTTATGAGTCGTTACTTCAAATGTTTATTTTGGCTTTATGTTATTCATTCCCTTTATTTCCGTGTTTTTCGAGGTGTATCGATTTGCCCTCCAATGAACGTCGTTACATTTTTGGTTTAAGACGCAAACCATGACAACTGGAAAAAAATCTGATGATGCAGAAAAATGAAGAACAAACATCATTAAGAACAGCATAAATTATAAAACGATTTGATTGAGATGAAAAATAAAATGAAATAAGCCAGTCATTTCATTGGGCTAAAATATTCTGCTATTTTATAGGACATAAAAATATCTCCTATTTGTTACTAAATACTATTAAATAGATCATATCTCCTTGTCCTATTTGTCCTACAAAATGGCACTGAAATAAACAAAAATGCACATCTTCATTATTTATTTATTCCGATTTGTTCAGTAGTTGTATGAAATATTTTATAGTAATTTTATTTATTTAATTGTTCATAAACTCAATATTAATTAATCCGAATTTGAACCGTCACTATCGAAAATTTTCGAAATGGCATATGCTCCTAATCCAATTCCCCCAATACCTGCGGCAACCTTCAAAGCATTTGATCCAGTACTACTTTTTGTCGGGGTATATGTTTGATAAGTCTGGTGTGGCGCATAATATTGTGTCGGTTGACCTGATCTATATGCTTCGGTCGGATGATATTGAATTATAGTGTGCGGCGTTTGGTATTGACCGTAATATTGACCGCTCTAGAAAATGAGACACATTCTTGAACCATCAACAATAATTATACATAAACATTGACTGATTAAATCGTGTTAATTTGGTGAGAGCTAAATTTAGGTGTTTATTTAGGTGTCAATAATTCAATGCTCAAACAAAACCAAAAAGTGATTAAAAAAATAAAACAGTTTGGTGTACAAAATGTGAATACTAAAACGGTTTAATGGTGTATATCTTTGTGCAAATATACCGGATACGTTTGCTGATTGCTTGGAACTGCATTCACCGTTGTCGAAAAGGATGCATGTGGATCTTTGAACAATAAAAATTAAACAATTAATTTCGTTTATCGCTGGAAAAATTACTGTCATCATTTACTTGGTTGGTATGGCGAATGTGGCTGATAACTTTGATAGGATGGTGGCTGGAAATTTTGAAAGGGTGGTGGCTGATACGGTTGTTGGTATGGTGGAGGTTGTACAGCCGATGTTGACGATGTAATTGCTGGCAAAAGAAATAATTCATTAATAATTAATGGTAACACTTATATCTACGATTCACTGTTTTTGTCTACTCACTAGAAAGTATTGGAGCAGTAGGTGTCACCGAATTGTATACTGAATTTGGATCGCCTTCAAGCTTTATGGACTGAATGGACACTTGACCACTAATAAAAATGAATCGAGCACTTGACAATGGAATACGGTGATTGAAAATGGCAAAATGTCGGCCATTCACTGCTATCTGTAATAAGACAATTTCAATATCATTACATAGGGCGTAAGTGCACTTACATGTAATGAGTCACGCTACATATACTATACACACACACCTTAAAATGTTCTGCTTCAGCAAGAATTAAAATTTCGAATCGTTCCCCATATTGAATGGGACAGCCCCCCATTCTCTCTTCAGGACCCCATGCTTGTACAAAATGGTTTCGCACAATCGCATTTTCATTTGGACGAACGCTTAAATGAAGGTTTATATCATCCGATGGCGATATAATCGGACCAGTTTTGATATCAATATTGAATCTAAAAAAAAAAACAAAAATAAATTATTTCATTTCTTAAAAACCAATTTGTTAAAGCAAACCTGTCATGGCGAAGCATTTCACCATTGATTCTGATCATCAAACCATGATGTAGGCCGCTAGGAATTAAGCCCAAATATGGAATTTTCTAAACAAATATTTGTATGTATGTCATTAAATACGTCATTTTTTTTAGCTATTTTTTTTATTTTGAATGAAATTAAGATAATTTTTCCTTACCGGATTAAAGGCAGGCAGTGTAGCCATTTTTCAGAAATTCTCTTGTCGAAAAAAAATCAAAAAAAAAAAAAAAATTATAACAACCCCACAAACTTGACTCAAATTATTGCTACGACGAAATATACTGAAATTGTTTCTGATTTGTTGCGTTGTTCATACTTGATTTATATGGAAAATATTAAATGTGACTGCTGCTTGTAATTGTATATAATTTTTATCTTATCGTTGAATATTACTTTTATTTGTCATTACATAGAATGCGTGAGTCATAGTCATAATTATATTTCAATAAATCGTTTCTCAACAAAAGACGAAAACAAAAAACACTGACATCGGCAATAGAATCAAAATGTGTGAAAGTATTGACTGGACAGTGCTAAAATGATAAGTATAGGACTTGTATAGGTTCAATAAGTATTGGTGCACTGCATACCCAAAATAACAAAAAAGTGTCGAGATAAGGCACGAAAGTTTAAATAAGTGTATATTGATCACAGTTCACTGTAATGTTTGAAGTTTTTTTTTCGATCACCTCATCAGTGGCAATGACGTTTTATTCTGCAAATTTATAGAAATTACGGATTACTCAAGCCCAACCATATTTATGAAAGACAAACTTGATATAATTCATTGTAAACAAACATTTGGTATTGTAAAATAACACAATCTTTGTTTATAGTGGTGAGCGACCTTGAGTTTAGTAAATATTTGAAACAAAAGATGGCATATCATGTGAATTCGATTTGTTAATAATAAATTTGAATTTGAATGTTCCGTTAAAATGATTTTTTTTTTATTTTGTTGAAAGAATGTTCCTAAGACTAAAAATCAGTCTGTGAATTACATTCAAAATATTATCAATAAACATTGCAGTTAATTACTTCTAAAACATTTGATTATTAATTACTATTATTTTTTTATTGTTCACTGATTAAAGCTACTATGAATTAAACACTTTTACTAGAAAAATGGCTAAATTTCTAATTTGTTGTATTTGCAACGAGATACGTTGCAAGTTTCTGAACCTTGCCAGATGTAATGCTATCCAAAATCCAATTTGGATGAACTTGTATCAATTTCTTACTATCAATATTTGTTTGATATTGTTCAGTAATGAAATAGCAGCAGTCTGGCACATTTTTTGTGACCTTTCCATAGCACATGATAATGAGTTCCCGAAGATTTTTGCATGTACAATTATCGGCCAAATAAAACATATCAAAACAGCGAAAAATGTCCATTCGGTAATGTCGACCAAAAGCTTGTCGCTCAATTCGGTTTATCTGTTCAAATGAAATATTTTGATAAGTCAACAAATGCTTAAAGAAGAAGAAGAAGAAGAAGAAGAAGAAAAAAATAACTGTTCGTTTACCTCAACCGCTCTTGAAAATGTTCGCATTTCATAGTCCGTTTCATATTGCCATTTATTTAACTCAACTGATTTTACAACCCAGTCGTAACTTAATATCCAAACGCCTCGTATTATTCCACGAAGAATATTCACTGTTCGACGATTGTCCGAGATCAAATGTGTTGTATTATTGCTTACTTTATTTTCTAATTGGAATTTTCCCAATTTTTTGACGGCCTAATAAAACAAAAAGCACAAACCAATCAACAACAGTAAATTGAAATCAGTGCACACTTTTACAAACTTATAACAAAATCAAATAGTAAATAAATACTGTTACTAAAGAAATTACCATTTTTTTATTAAATCTAGATTAATCATAAATCACACAATCATCAGTTTATAAAATGAAACCACAATTTTTTTTTCCTTATTTTATATTACTTCAGTTTTTTTTTTCATAGTTTACATTGTTCGAAAAGTTGGACACAAATTCGTTTACATGAAAAATGATGATAGTTCAAATGAAATGAGTGCTTGATAATTAGCTACGATTGAATTGAGTTAAATTTTTTTAAAATGTAGTTTTCATTCGAATTTAAATTGACAATCATCGTTAATATCACTTAAAAAATTTACTAAAAAACATGTACGAAAAAAATTCCCTAGTTTTAAAAGCATTGATATTATCTGTGAACCAACTTATATCGCCAGTTAAATTAATTTACCAATAACGGAATTTATCAAATGTCGAAAAGAAAAAATACGAAAATCCCGAACGAATATTTCCCCGAAAATTTAGGATTTTTCCTGGAAAAGAATCGTTTGGAATAAAGTATTTTCGGAAAAACTTCCGACATTCGAATATACCACAAAAATTTGGCCGATTAAGTCGAATGTGTTACAGTAACGTATCTATGTATATTTTGATGAAAATTTCTCTATGAAAAGGTTCTGCGTACCGCATTTGATTTATCTCTCATTAAATTTAGGTGATGAACTTATGATAACGAATTTATCTGGCGATATAAAAACAATGTAGTGAATAGTTTTGCTTATAGACAAAAAATTCTTTTCTAATGCTTGCACTGACCATTCAATAGTCATTATCACTTATTTCATTGAATATTACAGTTTCTTTTTAATAAAAAAAATAAAATAAAATAAAAGCCAATATGAAGGAACAAATAGTTGCGTCGACTGCCAAATTGATTAACTAAACTACAAACGTTGCTTCTACAAAAATAAAAGAAGATGTTTCTCAAACACTCTCTATTTACTGTACAAATCACTAAGGACCTACCTCTGATATAAAATCAATTTGAGACTGATGCATGCTTGTGAATACCAAACCCTGAAGTGAACTGTTATCTTTTTTGGCATTCGGCACCGTTGTTCCATTGGTTGCTGATAAAGTCAAAGACGAAATCAATGGTTTTGTGTCGTGATTAACCTTACGTACCGGTGCTTCTTCAAAAAACATTGTACTGCGTCGTGAAGTGGGTTTTTTGATGATGGGACGTGATTTGATGATGGGCGCCTTTTTTTCTTCACTTGCTGCTACGGCTGTTGCGACCAAATCGTTTCGCTTTCGTTTTTGTGTTGCAGTCTTTTTATCAGTCTTCTGTGTTGTTGTATTCAAAAGTGGACTATTCTCGGGGAACAGTGATGGTGGTGCGAATAGTTTTCGTTTCAATGGTTTCAGTTGTACAGCATTTTGGTTTGTTGCACCCGTGGCTGGCGTTGTTGTCATTTTTTCGGTATTTTCTACCGGCGTTGGTGTTGACTTTGCATCGCCATGAATTGAATCATCAAGTAAATCAGTCGTCGATTGATTCAATGACACATTACGATTTAAATTTTCGATGCGTTGCTTTATAATATCCAAGGTAATGTTTGCGATGGTTCTTCGTTTATTGGTCATTGGCGTTTTCTTGGAGCTAAATGTACTGTTATATTGTTCGAGCAATGTTTTCGGCGTACTGCTGCGATTCTGATCGATATGTGTTTTTGACAATGTATTAATCAATGGCGTTGTTGAACATGTAATTCCTGTATCTGAATCAACATTAAATCATATGAATTGGGATTTATTTCGAGATGAGCACAAATATATCAATTACCTGTAAGTTTATGGTTTGGCGTTTGAATAGCATCCTGAGATATTGCATCAATGGCTGCCTTCGATGTGTGATTTGTGGTTGACTTGTGAACGGTCACATTGGCGTGTACATTCATCGTTTTTCGTCTTGATGTTGTTGTGACTGGTGTGACTGTTGAAAAATTGTTTTGTACTTTTGTTTCTTCCATCGCTTGGGGTGTGTACGTGGTGCGACGACGCAATCGTGTTAGAGCTGCTGAGACGGGAGTGATCGGATTAATTTGTACTTTTGCTTCTTCCATCGGTTGTGGTGTGTACGTTGTACAGCGACGCGTATTTGGTGTGGCGGCCACATTGTCGGTTCGGCTTTTTTCCAATTGTTTCATGAACATCGAACGAATTGTATTTTTTGGTTTTTCATCCACTTTTTTGAAAATCGATTTTCTTGACTGTGTAACTTTCGGTAATGTTGTTGGCGCCAATGATTTTCGATTCAAATATGTATCCATGAGATTTGGTGATGGTGTTTTATCGATGACACTTGATGTCGAAATCGATGAATCACTTTCATTGTGCTTTTTAAGACCTTCCAAAATTTTCGATTTGGGAATCGGTCGATGTAGATTTTTCATCAATGTGTCGGGTTGAATACATTTTTGGCGCTAAAATTTTGACAATTAGAATTTTTGTTTTAAAACAATTGATGTACTATTATCGAAGTACACTTTGCTTACCTTTGTCTTTTCATAAAGATCTGGATTTTCATATTTCTCAATGTTTGATATGGGATATGCCTTTGGATCCATGATTACCAAATGCTTTTTGCAAGCTTCAATCCATAAAATTGATACAATTGGAATATTCCAGCTTTTGGCCTTATTGTATGTTGATTGTAAGCCATCTTTGAACACAACGTGCGTGGTATTGCTAAATGAATAACAGAAAATTGATATGCCTCGAGTTAAGAATCGTCCATAGAGTTGAATCGTAAACATGCTCATTACCGTAGAAGACGATCATTGACTTTAGCTCCCAAATTTGCGATTGTGGTTTTTACACCGTTCGTTCGATTTTCAGCACCCGATCGAAATTCAACGTAAACGATAACGTCTTTCATCACCTCTTCAATTGTTTTTGGCGGTTCAATTGAACATTCTTCTTCTGATACAGTGGTCTCACCGTTGGTCACATCAAAGTTATTATAGTAGTTGGCATTAGCCGGGCTACTAATTAAAGAGAAAACATACATACGTCAGCGTTTATGAGAAATTCTTCACAAAATTTCACTTATTTTCAGATGCAATTTTGTCGTGCACTTCTTTTTATACTTAATAGGTAGGTTAACACAACATTTTTTTTTTGGTAATTGTTATCAAAATTAGCATGTATGCGGATTTATTTATAAACTTACTTCATTGCACGAATTGCACGCACACGGCATGATGCCGATGGGCTGTTTAAATCACGTTGAAGTTTGTTCCATGCGGCTGTACTAAAACCTTTTTGTGGTGTTGAACTCATCGTTTCCACATCTTTATGAAAAAGATATGTTCGTTATTAGTTTGTTTTTTGTATTCTTTTCTCATATCAAATATATTTGTTGGAATAAAAAATTAAAATCTTCAATAGATTCAATGGAAATGAGAAAAATCGTTTGATTCAACCAATAAAAGAAAGAAATTATTTGGAAATCAATAATTCACATTGACAGTTGTGAGTGACGAAAAACACAATATGAAAGAATGTGTGAAAATATTGAACAATCAAAATACCGATCAGCCGAACGAATAAACAAGCTTTTCAATCGTATCTGTTTGAAACGAAAACGATTGACATTTGTGATCTCAACAAACAGACACAAAGCAACAAAAGTGTTCCCCAATTGTGTTTCGTTCATTATCTGGACTATGACAAATCTACGTAACAAAATGAATCGCACACTGAGCAAAAATAAATAAGAAGAAGAAAATGAAGATAACAAAATAAAAAAATAAAAAAAACACTGACTGAAAACAAAGATTGAAGCAACATAAATATGTCGTTTGTGTTTGCGATTTTTCGACCGACGAAAGTGTAGCAAAAAGAAATAGGTTGATTAAACACACATAGTGTGAACAAAATAATGTGATCATAGTCAAGACAAATCCATAACAAAAACGACGAACAAAAAAAAACACGAGCCGAAATTAATTATGCATTAGTGTGCATAACATATGTGTATATAAATGTTGTGCATTCAGTGGTTGCGAAATTCCCAATATTCCATTGAAGGCACAAGAAATGCCATAATAATTTAAAACAATGCAATTGATAAAATACGTATAAAAAATATATATACAAATTTGAAATGTAACCTTCAATGTGGGCCACAGTCGCACAGTTATTATCGGCTGGCGGCAAATTTTCATTTTCGTATTCATCCACAGTAGCAATCGATGACGTCGCCGTCTCGTACTGTATCAGTAAATTGTCACCCGAATTGTTGACACAACCATTCAGCGCGGCCTTACTATTTGCAGTGTCATTGATAAAGAGCGGTTCGTCGGGTGTTGATGATAACATTTTAAACAGCTGCTGTTCACCCATTCCAAATGTATGACGATGACGGCGACGATCATTGCCAAGTTCTTGGACAACATTTAGCACCGAATTTGATTCCATAAGCACGCTCGTTTTGATTTGTTTACCACACGATTGCTGATGTGATTGACCGTAGATTTTTTTTCGTTTAAATTTATCAAAATTGATGCTGCTCAAAGTTGACAATTCGGTACTATGAATGTTGGTCGACATTCGTGCCGATGTTGTTGTCGATTGTTTGAACACTGTCGCAATGTTCATTACGCTGTTGTTTTGAGTTCCCCTCTTTCAATACTTTGCGCGGCTAAATTCAACTCGACGTCTCCTATGTAGGTGTGTGCGTTCGTTGTGTGTGTGTGAACTTGGACTTGCGCATGTATAGGTGTCGTCTCAAACTCAACGTCGACGGGTATGATATGTGTCACTGTATGACCCTACGTTGGTCTACGAGATTGCGTATACATCGATGTATTTAACTCAATACACTGCAACACACAATTGAATACTACCATCGAATTGCATAGCAAATGTGATTGAAATGTATGTTTTCTATTCTTCGTTAAATTTAATGAAATTTTGCACTATTTAATTTATTGTAATTCAATGCAATTATATTATCTTTAGTTGTTTTATTCATTTATTCTTTATTATTTTATACATTAAAACATTAATTGCTTATTTTAATAAATGCACTTCAGTTACCATCGATATCACGTCGATCGATTGAATTTTCAAAATCCCAACTGTCGTTGACTGATAAACTTATGCTCGTTATTCTGTAGCGCCAACTGGTGGCCAATTATATAAAACATTTAGAACAAAAATTCACCATCATTCACCATGCCAATGAATAATGTCATCCAAACCAAAACAGTTATGCCATGATGAAAGAAGAGAAATCAAATGCAAAATAAATAATTTAGAAAAGAAAATCCACACTTTTTTCGAATTATATTTCGTTTTTAGCTCAATCGAACTATATTCTTTCTGTTTTGTTAGATGATATCATTTGTCTGAAATTGAAATGTTTTATTTTATAGCAATAGATGGCATTTTCATTTAAAACCAATAACAAAATATGATTGATTTGGAAAACGATTTCATTTTCATCGATCAAAACGAAAATTTAACGGAATTTTAATAAAGTTGTTGCTGCCATTGCATTCGATTGAAATATTTGTTTCGGACCATTTTTCCTTCCAATTTTTTTGTTATTGAATGTATAAAAAGTGACAATCAAGCGGCGAAACACCATAAAAACATCAAATTTAATTCATTTAAAAATTACTGGAATAATTTTAGTTCCATAAATTTCCGCTGGTCACAAGTGTCAACCGATTTGACAAACAACAAATGACACATGTGTTTACACATGTGTTTGTACGTTTTGCGATCGAAACATCATTATTAGTTTACTGAAATAATATTTTAGTTTTTTTTTCTTTTTTTTTAAAAATGCCGCAAAAAGACTATATAAAAAATAAAAAATCATTACCAAAATTAAAAAATAATGAAAAATTGGATAATCTTTTGGAAGAGAACGTTGAAGAATTACCCAAAATGGATCCACCAGAAACATATTCGTTGTATGTTCGAGGAGCTGCATGGATAAAGGATCGTGATAATGCTGCAAATCGATTGAAAGAAATTTGCTCTAAAATCCAAGACGTTCGCCATCCTCGACAAAAAAGTGCTGATTACTGTTTCATTGATTTTGCATCGGCTAGTGAACGCGATCAATCCTATGAGCAATTAAAAACAAATACCGAAATAACTGTGAAACCGGTCATCAAAGATGTGCCCAAATTGCTTGAAAAACGAAAGCACAAAGTTGCCGAAAAACGTGAAGCGAAAATTGAAACACGAAAATTGCTGGCAAAAATCAAAAAGAATGAAAAGAAACATGAAAATATTAGAGAAAAAACGAATCAAATCATCATTGCGAATTTGCCGAAGCAAACGACTAACGCTGAGCTGAAACAACAGTTCACAAATGCGGTGAAAATAAATTTGAATTCGAAAAAGAAAGCAAAACAATTTTCATCAGCCATTCTAACCTTTGCAAGTCCAAGAGACGCATACACGGCTTCAAAACAATCGGTTTCTTTACACGGACAGACATTGAACGTTTTACTGAATACCGGAGACTCGGTAAAGAGAATACACAAACGTAAACCAACAAAAATACAGCAAGAGCGCAAGGAAGAGGAAGAGCCACAACAAAAACTTGTCAAAACGGAGAAGAAATGAAATGCAGAACATATTTTTGAATGTATTTTCATATTTTTTTAGTTCATGCAATAAACAGGCCTGTATTTGGACCCAATTATTCTTTTTTTAATTTTATTCCTTTTTTTTATTCATTCGCACATTTAAAGTGTAATTTAGCAAAGCTTGTAGACATATTTCATATTTAGCAATTCTTTTTTGGTAACACTTCTATTTTTTTTGCTTTGATCGGCAAATGAATCAGCTTATAAATTGTACCATTCAATTAATCAACAATCAAAAGGTATTTTTGTTCAAAAAAAAAACCAGTACGACATCACGACGGAGGTACATGCCACTGAGGTACATTATGGAATCGCTATGAGGTGCATATGTAACTTGCTTTGATAATTGTCGATAGGTGAATTGAAAAGATAATAGAATCACACAGTGGGCTGTGATATCTTCAAAAAATTCATCCATGGGTTTCATTTATCACTTAATTCGTGTGAGTGATTTCACTTTTGTTTCAAATGCAATGCTTTCGCTGGGACATTTAAACAAACATTTTAATTATAGAAAAATGCCTATGGTCAAGATTGGGTCCTCAAAATATGCTTTTGTTTGCTTTCAACAAAGACTTTGTTACACGATAAATTATCTTTTACAAAACCAGCTTTACTTTTTTTTCACGTTCGATGAGAATGTCGTTCTGAATCATGGTCTTGAAATAAAAAAAAGAAACATTCATTACACATGTTGCCGGTTTGTCCCTGCGTGAATAATTTAATCAGAACTTGTATCTTATCGTTTTCGTGAGTAAAAAATGAATTTTCAAACATTCTCAATGCAATCAATCACTCCACAGTTGAGTCGGCGTTGAAATTATCTGATTACCCATATGTCTTCAAAGATTCGTGAAATATTCTTGTAAAATGTGTCAATCAAACCAAATGCATCCAATATAAAGCATTCGAAACACAACCACAAAAAAAATACTAGATAATTTCTCACAAAAGTCATGTAGATTTGCCTGAAGTCAATGTCTAAAAATCAACGTGACGGCTGTCAGATTGATTCTTCTATAATATTATTTTTTTTTGCTAAATAATCTATCTTTTCGTTCTATTGTTACTGAACTAAAAATTAAATCTCATCGATACAAATACGATGTATATCTGTTTTAAATATTCATTTTCGCGAAAAACAATCAAATTTAAGAAAACATCATTAAAATCGAATTATTCGAAATGAATAAATGCATTTATATGTATACTACCACAGAGTAACGGAGTAGACATTGCAATTTTTCAACGAATTGATTGAAAACTCGCACATATCAGTTTGTTTGTGTGAAAATATATGCTGGCAGTCAAAGCAATCATGTAAATTGATATTTGGTTAAGTCTATTTATAGTAAGCTTTTAAATTCTGGATTTTCTCTGTCTTTCATGTTCGTATCGACAATAATTTGTTCGATTTCATTTCATAAATGAAATCATTTTCGTCAACAATTTTACCAGTTTTAACATTCGGTTGCACTTCAACTTCCCTTGGCTGTGTGATCAGCGTAATCACCGTACGAAACATATTTTTGGTACGAGGAATACATTGCTTATGTAAATGAGACAAACAAAACAAAATATATACTATAATTTGCGGTGCAGGGTATTTTTTTTTTTTTTTTTGAATTTTATTCCATTCCGATAGAGTCATTCTAGTCGGTCAATTTTTATATTTTTTTCTCGTTCAGATTTCTTCGGGGCCCACTGCTTCGTGCAGTGTCGATGTCTATTTATACGGCTCTTTGCATATTTCTTGAAACATTGTTACTTTTGCGACCACGTACCGTGCAAAATTTATGATTATATTGCACACAACAAGCACACTCGGATACAGTTTTTTTTTCGTCTATTTTTCATATTACATTATTTGCTTTTGAATTTCGCTATCATCTGTGGCTTAAATCTGGCCACTGCACGCTCATTTTATTAAGTCTATATATTTCTGGGCTATTTAGCACACAAAGTGTCATGTTTGGACCAGGTGACAAAGTACAAATAAATTATAATTGTTTCTTCAGTCTATTTCATGTTTGGCAGTTTTATTTTTCGTCGGACGCTCATAATGTGTATACGTTCACTGTTCATGAATTCTGAAATAAAAGCACAAAATGAAATGATTTCGAAAAAAAGGAAATTCAAGGCTTATGTGAATAGCAGTTTCTAACAATTAAAATGATCAAATTGTAAGCAAGTAGATTGTACGCTATAAACAATGTTTTGCATTTTGTTTTACACATTTTTCAAAGTTAAACCTTTTATGATAATGAATTTATTAAAAATCTTAAGTAAAAGTGTCGGAATTTTGATCTCACTCAGATCAAAAGAGATAACCTGAGGCAAGAAATTTTCGTAAAAAAACACAGCAAATCAAAGAAATATCATCAAAATTCTTTAAGAAGATATACACAATTGTGTATGAAAATTATCAAACATTTCGTCATTTTAATTGACATGAGTCAATGGTTTTGTCCAAGAACAATACGCACAATACAAAGTTGGGGAGAAATTATAAATGGTGTCAATATTTCATTCATTGATCGACTAACCCTTAAAAAAAATAATAAGCATAATTAGTTAAGTGAATGAAACTGATTTTAAGTATGATTATTGTTGTAACCAAATCAATGTCTGTACTCAAGACCAGAAATCAGTAGAATATGCACATTGTTGGTTCGATGCGATGAGGCGATAAGCCTTAGGACAATTTTTGTTTTTGTCTTTTTAAACTTGGCCATGAAATGAACTATGAACTCTGCTTTAATTTCATTACAACTTAAAAGAAGAGAAAAAAAAACAATTTAATGGCATTCATTCAAACACACCACGTTCTCCATTCCGTCCGATCACAATTGGCTTTATTTATTTTGTCATTAAACTTAGCGCCAGACAAATCGTTTCAATATAACATAGTCAATGTTGCATGGTTCCAGAAAGCTACAATTGTATAAAATTATAACCAGTCCGTTTGGAATTATAAACCGATTAATTGAAAACCAGATTCATAGCAATTGATTCAAATCGCTCACTTCGCAAACTCCGCAAATATGATTTATCGAAGAAAAAAAAACGATATCTATGCACAACGTGTCACTTTAATTTTATGTTTCGGTTGCAATCCACCGATATGTAGATTGTGTAGATGACGATGTTTTATTTTCAGATGCATACGCCCATATTTTGCTTTTTATTGTTGTTCATTTCCAAGTGTCACACCAACGAAAATGCAATTATTATATCATTAATGAATTCTGTGGATGGCAAGTGCGAAGTTAATGCATATCGTCAAGAAAATTCAAGTTGACAAAGAAGAAGAGGAAAATGCATTATATGCAATGTGCAGTAAACAACTTCGTGTTGATATTGTAGCTGTTTAATTTCATACGACGCAAGCGGCGACATGCCGCGTCATTTCGGAACTTCTTTACAATTTGTAAATATTTATAGTTCAAGTGCTTGGTGCACTCAAATGGCATGTGCGGATAATTCCGCTGGAATCGGTAATGCACATGCGAATTCGACTGAAATGTAGAAGACACTCAAAATGCGGATATTATAATGTATCGATAAATGATTCATTATTTCAGATCACACTGTGCACTACTAAAATATCTACGCGACCATAAAGTGACTCAGAATCAGCGTGCTTTGCGTAAAAGCCTTGGAAAATTTGATTGGATAATCGAATACAAGGTTGTTCAATGTCGCCGCATTCATTGCTTCAACAAAAAAATATCATCGGAAAATAGCGACGGTTATAATAATAGTCAAAACATATGGCGACATATTTCACGTCTCTGGAAGTTATTACAACTTTCACACACGCCAACCGTTCCGACGATCTATTGCTAATTGCACAATTGGCGTCCATATACTTTCGATTGTTTTGTGTCGGTATTTTTTTTTAATTTGATTTTGTAAGCCGTTTGGTCAATATGAGTTACCATGCAACCAAAATGCATAATATAGAATTCACATAGCATCGCCGTCAATTTATAATTAAAATCAAATAATGAAACAAAAAAAATGAACGTCGATTCACGGTCGCATTTTTGCGGCTGACTTCGTATTACCGCGTCATTTCGTATTGGCACTTCATGGAATCTGCATTGATGCAATAATATCAATGAATTTGGAAGGCTTTAAAATGAATAAACAATTGAGAAAACCCGATTACCACTTTGAGTATGAGTATACGAATCAGTATCACCGCAACGCTTTTCTAAAGTTCGTCATGATAAAATCAGACCAAATATTTCAAAGAAGACTTTTTTCATCACAATGAACTTGTCTTTCGTTGAATTTCAAAATATTGGAAATGAGAATCAATATTTTATGGGAATGATTCACAATATTTCAACATATTTTGAGTGTCATTCAACTCCGAATTGAATCATACGCGCTATTTAGTAGTTTCAACCAAACTACAGCTGACTAAGCAGATATTGACACCATCAAAAAAACTCCCAACCCCATCAAATTATTTTGAACTTGAAATAAACGGTTGAACAGAAGTCAATTGACAGTGTTCGTCACACGTAACGAATGTTGCGGTTGCACTACGGATTCTATGTTCGCAATGTGATGACGCAAAATATGGATGGATGATTTTCCTTGGCTCAAAACCAAAACATCATACGAGTACTATTAAAATGATTCACAGAAAAGTAATTTGTTTGATTTGTTTTGATTTTGACCAAATTGCGGTTTTGAATAAAAATTACGATAAAAATAAAGAAGAAAAAGAAACATTGTAAAGCTGAAGCTCACCGCACGATGCCTTTGAATAAAAAAAAAAAACAGAAGATCCAAACTACTCATTAATTTGAAGAAAGCCGAAGAGTTTGAATAGAAAAACCAAAAACAGACAATTTGTAGAAGAAAAAAATTATGAGATTATGAAAAATAAACATCCGATTTATGAATTTTGGTTCCATAAATGTCATTATTTTTTAAAATAATAAACCGAGTTTATATCATACACGAAGAGACTAATTAAAAAAATTTGTTGAATAATTAAAATTGTGGCGATTTAGTATCAAGGGAGCAAGATATGATGCAATTAACTAAA